ATGGTAGTGAATTCTAAGGAATGTTCTGCTCTATATACTTTTCGATTATGTTTCTGGAATTCATAGGACAAATACTTTCAGTTTTGATTTTCTTTCTAGTGAGTTTGTTTTGCGTAGGAAGAAGACTTATAAAGTTAACTGAAAAATTGCAAGAAATAAACACAACTTCTTCATTACTAAAAAAAGAATTACAAGAAATCTGTGAAAAGGACACTGAAATTTGGGAAATTTTTGAAATGGTCAACAAGCAATGGGAAAATCTGGATGCTTTGATATATGCTCACTTTGCATACGAGACGTGCTTTCTGTGTTTTGCTACAATGTTTTTTGACTTGGATGTTGTCATTCGACTACTTATCGGCTTCATTTCGATAATGTTTATAACAGGTGTTGTTTTTATATCATGGGCCCTGTCTTACTTGACATCTCTGGTAATTATCATCTTTTCTTTTATTGCTAATAGTAATTTACTATGTAAAATATATTATATAATTTTTATACATCAGTTTTTGCTAAAATACTATCTGGTAACATTTACATGTCCAAACATCAAACTACTTAATTTTTTGCATTATTTGTTTGAACACAAAAATACATTATATTAATTGTGGTTTTGCGTAGCAACATATTACAGCTTTCCTGACAATCAAAAGCATTTTAGTTTTTTACACGAAAATAATTTTTATAGAGGAATTTATAAAAGTGCAAATGCTATTTTTTACGGAAAGTTATAATATAATTAAGTAGTAGTGATTGAGAGTCACAGATATTACACGCTCTACTATCCAGTTGTGTAGTCGATTAAACTAGCGAAACTGCTGGAGTGTCACGGGTTGGGTCCATATAAGGCAAGTTTTAAATACAGTTTATTTTTACTTAAAAACGTGAAGTAATCCAGGAAATTCCACATGGCCTGCTGTTGCTGAAACGCAAACCATAACCACTTACTAATGTTCAATGTTTATATCTACTTGTCCACTAGCAGGGTCAAAACGTAAAGAGACAATAAACTAGACTGGAGCCTTTTTCCTTAATTTAAATACTAAGCAAATTAAGATTAAAGCTAGTGTAAATTCGAAGATAAAGAGTTAATTATACAGTCTGTTGTTTTATATAATAATTTTTAGTACGGATCTAAAGTAAATTATTTATTGTTTTCTAATCTAAATTATTCTTCAGTAGGAGAGTCGATAAAACTATTGAACATCGATAATTGGCTTGTGATTCACCATTGTACCGACCGTGTTGTATTATTCATGTTTGTGACATGTGTAAAACGATTACAAAACAGATTCCTACAGAACTTATCGCAACAGAAAAACACTTCCCCCCCTCAGATCGCTTTTAAAATTTTTTGCTTGATCCTGTCACTTCACTTATACATTAGAAATAGAATGTTATAAAATTCTACTCTTAAGCATGTGTATTTGATCATGAAAACACGAAAATAATAATTTTTCTATCGCTATATATTCTATTTTTCTGTATAAAGCACTAGCAAATTCTTTAGCGAACCATTATTCGCCGTATTTGGATACTCAAATACAATGTTTTACATTCAGTATTAGAACATTTATGTATAATAAGCTAGTCGTTGTTAAACTCTCATTTTGAGCAGTGTTATAAGCACCAAATAAAAGTATATTTTAAAAATGCTGTGAAATTTAAAGTTATTCATTAGTGCAGAAAACATAGGCAAATCATCAATTATAAATATAAGTAATAATGTATTGATTATTAAATAATACTTCTGTATTTTAGACGTACGATAACTTCGTTTCCATACAAAGATTCTCTTCAAACAACTTGCCAGTTGAATTCAAGTTTAAGGTGAATTATAAATGGAATATTGTTATGTAATTATGATCTTAACTCACATATTAACAGAATATTTGCTGTGAAAAATATTGTAAATACCAACCTTTTCATCTTATCATTAACTGCATTATATTCTTTCTTGTAATTTCCGCAGTACGTGGGCAAATGTTATCTTGTAAAATCAAGAACACCTTAACGATTTGCCAAACATAGATGTCTTAGCCTTAAATTTCATATACTATTTGTACAAGCGAACTATAGATACCTCTTGTTAATATTTGGCCAATTGTCAAGTACTGATGATAAATAATACCCCTCAAAGTCCACTAAACATTAACAATTTTTCGGGCGTCATTCAAATCACGTATAAAAATTCAGCAACATATTGTTTAACTTTTTCTGTAGCTTGTGTGGTGCTATCGATCATAAAATTTTGTTATTGAAAACTTTTATATTTTAGGTATTATTAGGTATTGTAACTGTTTAATTCGGTGGGTAGACATACATTTTATCGAAAAATGTAATGTTAAAACGAGTAAAATCATTATTATATTCGATTATATTCGAAATATGACACACCTCTCCTTTAACTTCCCCTTCTCCGACCTTTAACTACAAACAATTACTAGCCTCAATTCCCCTCATACCATGCAAAATTTCAAAATTTTTTGACAAAGGCATAGGGGAAATACAGACAAAATGACATACGGTTTTATTTTAGGTTCATAACTCTTTATTGGTAAATCACAGAACTGTCATATTCTACACCAATCATCTTTGGTTTTTTTACCTATGGACAAAATGACATATACTATGGACAAAATGACACATTACGTAAGGACAAAATGACGTACACGTAAAAACTATAAAATTATTGACAAAGTTCACAAATGAAACGCTTGGCTCTTTTAGAAACGTCAGTGCAAGAAGCGTGAGCCCAAAGCAAACAATAGCACCATAACCAGTCTTCTCCAGGCTTAGATCGTGAAAAAAGATCATCGCAATACAAGGTATATGCATAGACAGTCTTCTTCATCATCATGACAGTTATTAGGAAAATTTTCTTCTTCAAGTAACTTTTTAGTAATGTTTCGTCTCCTTTTCTCTGGCGGAGCTTTGGACTCATTTTTTGATTTAATTGCCTTCATATTAATAGTAGAAGTTAAAACTAGAGGTTTGTCGAGTCACGTGATTCGTTGCAAGTTTTTTGTTATGTGAAAGATAATAAGTTTGTAAATAATATGTAAGAAAGAAAATAAAGTTTTATACTAAAATTTCTTTTAAACAATAATGAAAGACTTTGTTTGGGAGGTATTTTTTATAATTAATAAAACGTTAAGAGATTAAGGCAAGTTTCTTGACTAAGCTCTTATGGGCTAAATGACAGGTATGTCATTATGTCCGTTGTCTATGTATGTCGTTTTGTCCATATAACGTTATAAAACAACAAAATTATAAAATAAATACAAAGATGTTATTTTTAATGGAAAAAGTTATTTAAGTGCAACAACAAATTCTTGAGGGTTGAAATAAATGCTACACAAGTAGATAAAATAGTGAAAAACTTACCATCTATACAAAAAAATTTGTTGCGAGGAAAAAACTCATAACGTATCATTTTTTGTTGTCGGCCATGACACCCTGGCGAATGAGAGGAGTGCGTTCACATTTTGACAGGTTAGTAAAAGCAGCTTGTATAACATGGTGTCATGGTCAGTTGTGCGCTTGAGACCGCCAAATTCAAATTATGGTGCCTATGTCATTTTGTACGTATATGTCATTTTGTCTGTATTTCCCCTACACGTTATTACGCTTCCGAAAGGATGAACAAAATGGAACTACGGTACACTAACAGCCATACATAAAAAAACAAACCAAACTTTTTGCATTTCTCTACGTTTTACAGATTCTTTAGTACAAAAATGTAACATTCTCCGGGGTTACTTTTTGAGCGATCGCCATACTTTCTCTCTGTTATATATAACGGGAGGGAGCGTAAAATGATATTGTTTATTACCCGTTACAATTTAAATTTTGAAATCAGATTTTTTAAATTTTAGAATATATCGATTCGTTAATTTTACTTTTAATTGTTAAAATAGTAAAAAAATTTGATTTAGAAATTTGCTATTAAAACGGTTAAAGTATTTTTTTTACTTTTAAAAAATATTATTCTGTAATGAATACTTTTATCAAAGTGCCAACACACTGACCCAGACATTGAAATTAAACACTTGTTGCTTATATAACTTATGATAATTCCAATTAAAACAACGAAGAAAGATAATAACTCTAGTATTAACTTTACAGAAGAACTTACAAGTATGAACAATATATTTTCAAAATAAAAAATAGATATTATTTTAAAAGTAAGTAACGATATTTAAATTAAAACTTATAGATTTATTCGTTTTTTTAAAGTGTTGCAACTGTGTTTTTGTATTGTTTATATGTGTAATATGAAACTATTTTTTAATTTTGTATTTGATATGAACTCGCATTTTCGTATATTATACCTTTATATCATCTTAGTATACCTAATTTTGAATTTAAAAATATCGAAAACTGCTTCTGTTAATACAAAATTTAAAAACATGTTGTTGTGTACGCACATAATCAATGATAACATTTATCAGATCCTTTATTATATTTATCATTATGTAAATTTATTAACGTTCTCATTACTCTCATATTGTTTAGTATATGTTTATAATTAATCATATTGTTATGTATATGTAAGTATGTATGTCTTTATTGTAGATATATATTTAAAGCTAATAATACTGCTTCTACTTCTACATTGTAATATTTATTAAAGTAAACTCTGCACGAGCAATAGTAAGATAATGACTCTTATTGCTGAGAAATTTTATAGCTAACTTCATTTATTTATTTTAAATCGTGTAATGGAGAATGAGCAGCAACTCATAACACATAATGAACCCCAGTCTCTTCTTATTAATAAGGTACTATTGAAAAGAAAGACTATTTTGGACATAATAATATGTATTTTGTCACTGTAATACATAGTTTAAAGTGTTATTGGTTGTTAGGTATTTGAAAATGTTTATTTCTACGTTTCTTTTCTTACAGAGTGTAAAACTTAATGCATGTTTTTACATTATTTTATTAAACATCAATTAAAGTAAAGTATTATTTTAACAGTTTTCTTTCTTTTTCAGAAATAGAAACATGCAAAACATACTTCAAATTGCTAATTCTCCAGGAGTGATTTATACAGTTATAAGTCTATTATGTTTCCTCGTAATTATATACACAAAAAGCACTGTGTGTGATTGGATGATGAATTTCAAGGAGTTTAATATGAGAAGCCAACTGAATGCTTATTTAAAACTTTTATCGAAATTAAAAGCAAGAAAAATTGGTATGTTTACGTTGTTTTAACGAATAATTTTTAAGCACAACAAAAAACATTTTTTTTTCTTATTTATAAGCAGAGCATTGTTATATATCATTCATTTTTATTACTGTTTCTAACATTTATGTAAGTTTGATTTATATATAATTAATAAACGTAATCAAAATTAAACTGTTTAATTAATTACAATAAAAAAGTAATTAACTAAGAAGAAACATTTTATATACAAAGAATAATCAGCTTTGTCAAATGAAAAGCTGTTGTCAATTAGTTGCAGCGTGTAAAAAGTCACTGTACATTCAATTACACAGAGATGGAATTCTACGAGNATATATAACGGGAGGGAGCGTAAAATGATATTGTTTATTACCCGTTACAATTTAAATTTTGAAATCAGATTTTTTAAATTTTAGAATATATCGATTCGTTAATTTTACTTTTAATTGTTAAAATAGTAAAAAAATTTGATTTAGAAATTTGCTATTAAAACGGTTAAAGTATTTTTTTTACTTTTAAAAAATATTATTCTGTAATGAATACTTTTATCAAAGTGCCAACACACTGACCCAGACATTGAAATTAAACACTTGTTGCTTATATAACTTATGATAATTCCAATTAAAACAACGAAGAAAGATAATAACTCTAGTATTAACTTTACAGAAGAACTTACAAGTATGAACAATATATTTTCAAAATAAAAAATAGATATTATTTTAAAAGTAAGTAACGATATTTAAATTAAAACTTATAGATTTATTCGTTTTTTTAAAGTGTTGCAACTGTGTTTTTGTATTGTTTATATGTGTAATATGAAACTATTTTTTAATTTTGTATTTGATATGAACTCGCATTTTCGTATATTATACCTTTAACTCATCTTAGTATACCTAATTTTGAATTTAAAAATATCGAAAACTGCTTCTGTTAATACAAAATTTAAAAACATGTTGTTGTGTACGCACATAATCAATGATAACATTTATCAGATCCTTTATTATATTTATCATTATGTAAATTTATTAACGTTCTCATTACTCTCATATTGTTTAGTATATGTTTATAATTAATCATATTGTTATGTATATGTAAGTATGTATGTCTTTATTGTAGATATATATTTAAAGCTAATAATACTGCTTCTACTTCTACATTGTAATATTTATTAAAGTAAACTCTGCACGAGCAATAGTAAGATAATGACTCTTATTGCTGAGAAATTTTAGAGCTAACTTCATTTATTTATTTTAAATCGTGTAATGGAGAATGAGCAGCAACTCATAACACATAATGAACCCCAGTCTCTTCTTATTAATAAGGTACTATTGAAAAGAAAGACTATTTTGGACATAATAATATGTATTTTGTCACTGTAATACATAGTTTAAAGTGTTATTGGTTGTTAGGTATTTGAAAATGTTTATTTCTACGTTTCTTTTCTTACAGAGTGTAAAACTTAATGCATGTTTTTACATTATTTTATTAAACATCAATTAAAGTAAAGTATTATTTTAACAGTTTTCTTTCTTTTTCAGAAATAGAAACATGCAAAACATACTGCAAATTGCTAATTCTCCAGGAGTGATTTATACAGTTATAAGTCTATTATGTTTCCTCGTAATTATATACACAAAAAGCACTGTATGTGATTGGATGATGAATTTCAAGGATTTTAATATGAGAAGCCAACTGAATGCTTATTTAAAACTTTTATCGAAATTAAAAGCAAGAAAAATTGGTATGTTTACGTTGTTTTAACGAATAATTTTTAAGCACAACAACAAACATTTTTTTTTCTTATTTATAAGCAGAGCATTGTTATATATCATTCATTTTTATTACTGTTTCTAACATTTATGTAAGTTTGATTTATATATAATTAATAAACGTAATCAAAATTAAACTGTTTAATTAATTACAATAAAAAAGTAATTAACTAAGAAGAAACATTTTATATACAAAGAATAATCAGCTTTGTCAAATGAAAAGCTGTTGTCAATTAGTTGCAGCGTGTAAAAAGTCACTGTACATTCAATTACACACAATATAAATTCACATTGATTTACCGATCCTTTTATAATAATATATATATCATTGTACGTATCCACAAATTTTATTAAAATTACTCAAAATTGATATAAAATTATATTTAATGCGTATCGTATTCTATGTAAACAGATGAATTTCGTTATTTTTAACATTAATATCACGAATCAATTTATTATTTTATAGGAATGGACATGATAATAGATGAAACTTACGATTACAAGTCATCGAAAGGATATATTACAATGAACCTGATTTTCATGAAATGGGTATTTGTATTTGATCCGAAATTTATGAAAGTAAGCCAATTTTAAATATTTTGATACGATATAATTAATTAGTGAAACTAAAACACCGTAACAATTTCTTGTTGATGTATACAAAAAGAATTAACACGATTTTATTCATACACTGTTTATGAAAAAACAATAAATTTTAGAATTATTTATAAGCACAATAATTTTTTTTTATTATTCTGTATTTAAACGAATGTAATATAATCTACGAGGACGGTTTTTTTCAACTTCCGATAGCCCATAAAACAAAGACAAATGTAAGTAACAAAATGAATCTTTTACCAAAAGTTACGTATAAACATGGTTACTTTTCGACATAATCACCGGGAAGATTGAGGCATTTGTCTGTCTATAAATGAGCTTTAAAATCCTCTCTTTATAGAATGTTGCCGCAACCTTAAGGCACATCTCGAGTCACTGGCAGCAACATTCTATAAAGGGGGCATTACTAAGCTTGTCCACAGATACCACAAATACCTCAATTTTCACGGTGATTATGTCTAAAAGTAACCATGTTTGTACAGTACCTAACTTTTAGTAATAAATTTATTTTGTTACTTATATCGTCTCTGTTTTATGGACCATTGGAGGTTGTCAAAAACCGTTTTTGTTCAGTCGTTTAAATGTATTTTTTTATCTTTACGTTCTATAACGATATTTGATTACAGTATTTTATTAAAATGGCACACACTCTGTGTTGTTTTCAGTTACTGTCAGATTACACTGAAACTTCATTATATTTTAAATCCGTAATGAAGAGTAATGTTCCATTATTTCGAATATGATTCGGATATAAAATATTAAAATATTATCATAAACTTTGTAAAGTAATGTTAACCAGACTTAAATAATTTACTATTGGATAATTTTGATTTGATTTTTTTAGAAGATATGATTACCAGTCGACCCCCCTATAACACTGTGAGAGTCCAGTTTAGTGAATAAATTCGTTAAATAAAATTTTTGTTAAGGGAGGAAAAGAAAAAAATTTAACTTCAAATTGCCATAAATAAAGACATAAAAATCTTTTCCCACGAACTTAGTTCCTTGTCAAGTATGATACATCGAATGTGTCACCCGAAATCTCGAAAACGACTATTGGTCAGAGAAGAAAGAACAGTCCTAATAAGGCAGTGGAAAAAACCCAAAGAGACCCCCTTTATAAAAAGGAGGGGTCGAGACGGAAGAGTCAGTCTCTGGAAATTTGTGCGCACTGTGTTTTTTAGAAAAACGGATAAGTCGCTACCAGGAACTCGCTGTTCGAAGGGACTACGCCGACAACGTTCGAAGGAACTTTGTGATACTAAAAACCCGGTTCAACGTTCGAAGGAACTTGTGAAGACCCATTAACGATTCAACCCAGGACTAATCAACGATTGAAACTAAGGTATTTATCCTCGCGCGAAATATATGTGAGCTCTCTCTCAGAAATACGGGTAACCGGTAAAAAGTTGATATGCTAATTAACCGATTGTATATAGCTATTGCGACTGTAGATAAAATGAACAATAAACGGGCATTATGTATAGAGAATGTATAGTGTGATTCCTCTGGTTCTCTCGGTACGCCTCCATCCCGGAACTAAAAGTCCACAACGCGACCGTTCGCGTAAATAAACGGCCAATAACAAAATTTTTCTGTGTCTACTAAAAGACACAGTGGTGTCATCCTGACAGGGCGCCAAAGAGGTGCCGACCCTGCGGTCACAACACTGTTGATTATTCCGTTTTATATGAATTCCATGTTGTACGAGTCACTTAGATTTTACAAATACTTGAGCAGTTCATAGCCTGGCACACGTATTTGTAAAATCTAAGTGACTCGTACAACATGGAATTTATATAAAACGGAATAATCAATAGTGTTATTGGGGGGTCGACTTGTATTATAATTGCATATGATTCATTAACTCACAAAAATATATTAAAATTAATATTTATTTATTTTATTTCAGACGTTATTGGAAGACGATGAAAACATTGATAGACCTATAATGAAGCATGCTGATAAAGGTATAATGACAGATTCATTACTAATCAGGTAGGTAGAATTTTAAAATGATTTTTTATATTGAATTACTAATACAGTTCTTCTTAGATAAAAACTACAGCTTATTTAAATATGTGATTGCTTTAATTAAAAGCTGTTACTGTAGCTTTGATTAATTTTCTGTATATTTTTATAAAACTATTTTATTTCAGACGTTATTGGAAGACGATGAAAACATTGATAGACCTATAATGAAGCATGCTGATAAAGGTATAATGACAGATTCATTACTAATCAGGTAGGTAGAATTTTAAAATGATTTTTTATATTGAATTACTAATACAGTTCTTCTTAGATAAAAACTACAGCTTATTTAAATATGTGATTGCTTTAATTAAAAGCTGTTACTGTAGCTTTGATTAATTTTCTGTATATTTTTATAAAACTGTTTTCTGTTTTCTAAGAATTACTCAATAGCTAAGGCAAATCTAATCAGTAATCATACATACATATGCTACTCGTACCTAAGAATTATAAAATCTCATAAAAGAAAGTTATACACGTTACAGGACTGCTAAATCTTATGTCAATGTAAATGTGAATTTCATCCAACATATCTCTTATAATCTTGGTTTATAATGCTACTTTCACTGACTATATTTAGTGAATTTATGCATATTTCTTGATACCTTTTGCTTTTCTTTCAACTATATCTTGAAATTTTCTTTTCAAGGCATTCATTTTAGCACGTAAACCAAAAAATTCAGCCATCCTTTCACAGTTATTTTCATCTTTCATTTTTATTTCATTTTTATATCCTAAACATTTTCCTCTTCTCATCTCTACAAGTGTTTCAGACAAATGTATTTTTTTCTCACCTTACCGTTTTCATTGTCAATGATAAGAACAGGCTGGAGTCAATTTGCCAATGGACATACAGGCGCTTAGAAGAATAGGAAAGCACAGAAGAGTATCATACTGAACATTATATCTGTTTGTTTGAGAAAGTGGTTGCTGGCTATACGTGTGAATAAAGTAAGTGGTAATATCATAACTCTTTAGCGACCATTATCATGTATTGTTGCATTCCCGTACAGTTGTTGCCAGGTATGTATTGACTAAATTTTGGTATGAATTTTGTCAGGCTACGATTATTCGCATGCATATTTTTCCAATTTTGATAAATTGACTATCCCTTACATGTATTTTATGTAACTATGTAAAAGTAATTTTCGGATGGCCAAGAAATTTCCAAAATTTATATACTTTCAGTTTTTGTCCTACAGAGATTTTAATACGATATTTCGTGCTAATATCTGTGCTGTATACTATCGAGCTGGGTCTAATTTATAATGAAACGTCTCTGATATTCTTAATATTTGCTAATATTATGACATTGTAATTTTAAATTTTAATTATTGATAGAATACTTGAAATTTTTATATGTAAACTAAATATTTTATTTGTGAAAGATTTACTTAAACGTATTTTAAAACCTGATGGCCTATGGCAGTGGGTTAAAAGTTCATTAATCTATATTGTTTCAGAAAAAGCTTAAGTTTTCTAGTAAAATTGTATTCTCTGCTGAATACACATGGTATAAATCGAATTTAACATATAAATCAAAATATCTCCATTTTCTAGTATTAAAATCATTCCAAATTTTGTGTGCATGACTTTACTTTTCATGTGATATGATAGTTTAATTCAATTCACAATAAAATTCCTGCTTTGATGGTGAATGTTTTTATCAAAGTTTAATTTAATGGACATGGAGTCATACCCTTCGTAATCACAAGATCTAATTTGGCTTGAGTAAAATATTTTATTGTATTTCCGAATGGTTTCTTCTTGTAGATTACTAGTTAATTTAACCATGCTATTTGCCATAAGTTTATAATTTTGTAAGTTATAGTAATTTTGAGTTGACTTATTCTTATCTTCTCATACACTTTATATTTTGGTTCGGATACAGATTTTATTTTGAACATATTATTATAAACTGTTGGTTCGTTTTCTTTTCTACTGGCCTTAGTTAGTATCATTTTAATTGATCTAAGATATAATTAATTATAATTTTCAACTAATTTATCTAAACATCTATTTATAATTTTGTATTATTAGCTGTAAAGCATTACCACATTTTAGTGTCTAATAAGAGTTCTGCTGAATTTCTGGGAAAGTGAACAATTTATTTTTATATTTACTGTAGGGAACCAATGTATACTATTTTCTTAACTTTCAGCCAAAGAAAGTTGCTTTTGGTGTCTGACTTTTAGCACACTATTTTTAAAATTTGCAGTAATTACTCAGAGTCTCTAGCATTTCGTATGCGTAAATAAATTCTTTTTATTCTTTTAAATCGCGTGGTAGAAAGGAGTGCCTGCTTTTTATGTAAGTCTGCTGAAGTTCGCTAAAAGCATTGAAATTTTTCTCTCGTCCGCCATTGGTATAAAAAATATACGTGGTAGTTTGATAACAAGTAAAGCGCTCTCTTTAAGAAAGCGATACAAGTATAAACTTATTTCAATACTCTCTGTTTTCGCTTCTGCTTGAAACCGGATCTATACGTGCATCTTCTCATCGTTAAAAAATGACAGTACTGATATCTGTTTTTATAGTATGCGAGATTGTCTGTAGAAAGTGTTGAAAGCACTCGCTGCAGATCATAAATAAACAGCGTATGGTTCTTCATAAGTATTTTAAACTCGGAAGGTGGTCAAGTGACCACAATTTGGATTCAAAGCTTCACTTTTCCAACACGCTGATATATTATGTAATATGACAAAGTTGGCTGTTTCACAAAAGAAATCACGATTCTTCTTGCAGTATGAAAGTATAAGTACGAAATATAGAAATGCCACTATACAGTAACAATGTATTTTATCTTATTTACCATTTTCATGCAAAAAAGGTAATAATGGTGGAATTATTTGATATATTAAATAAAGAAAGTAATATATATATAAATAAATTCATTAGGCAATTTCACTATTGAAAGTTTTAATCTTTTTAATGACTTTATTGTATAAATGTTCCA